GGCAGGAGGGGCCACACGCCCCAAGCACCCCCCCCCCCCCCCCCCCGGTCGACAAAAATAAAATGACAAATGCACGGCCAAGGGAACGTATCAAGGGGAAACACTGCTCTGTAGACTGTAGGAGCAGAACACAGACTCAGTAATACTAGAAAACTAGCAATAAATACATGTTCATGTCAAAATCTCAGAACGATTATCTTTTAATCAACAGGTCAGTGTTCAAATTCCCTGAGTTTTCCCTGTCTGCAAAATATGAGTCATTTTTACAGGTTTTCCCTGATTTCCAAAGCTGGGAATCCCTCGGCCAGTAGTACACTAAGCTTTATTTCAATCACTGTAAAGCCGACTAAGTTATAGCCATTCTGGTATTAGCTAAGGTCTGGCACAGTGCTCCTTGCCAACAGAGTTCTCCTACCTTCCACCAGAACCTTCTTGGCCATAGAAGCAGCATGGTGGGAGGAGAAGGCAACAATAGCAGATACTCCAACAATTCCAGGTCCAGCTTTGAGGGAAACTCTCTCCACTCCTTCGGCCATGAAACGCAGCGCCTGTAAACAAACGTTTACAACAGAGCACAGAGAGATATCACCATTATTACTATTTGTACACATACAGTACATTGTAGTGTTCATGTTTTACAGCTAAAGTAGGGCTTTTCATTATGGGTTCACACACAGGAGTCAATTAATCCAAAATACACAACTAGAGAAATTGCATTTCCTGTGAAAATGCAGTGTGAATGCTTATTGCTGAAGAACTTGTTGAAAAACAGCTGACATTAGCTAAAACATGCTGAAATGTAGCTGAAATGGAAGAACAAGCCTAAGATAGCAGAAGCAAGCAGAAAGAACACATATTTCCTGAATTTGGTTTAAATAAGCAGAAATTAGCACAATAATTAGGAAATTACCTACCTGCCGTTGTATTAGTCACTAGGGGTTGAACGAGTATATAATTTTTAAACTCGACATTAACATAATAAAACCCGAGTAGAACTCGAGTATTTGATGACGTCATAGATCTCAAGATACAAAAATAAGTAAATAAATAAAACCGCAAAAAAAGGTATTTACAAAAAAAAAAAGACCAACAAAACATTGGGAGCGTATATTATGCTCCTACCATTTATCATACTGCAAATAAGTCACAGGAAAAACTAAACTAGTTATTATTATTAAACTACAAACGTGAAGAAACGCAGCACGTCAAAAACGAAACTTAAACCGAAACTGGTTCTGGTTCGGTGGATTGGACCCGGTGTTACACCATACTTTGTGACCTGTGTGAAAGGAAAATATATACTCAAGTATACTGTATTGTTTTAGTTAAGTTTTATGCATATTATTTCAGTTAAAGTTGTGATGTTTATCTATTTGAGACCACCCATATGCCATGTTCTACTGAAACATCTGTTCCTCAGTCACATCATGGGACAGGAAGTAAAAGGGGCCTCGTTGAAGTGTGTGAAACCATCAGAATCTTGTTTCCCAGAAACTGCTCACACATAAATCTCCTCAACAAGGTCTCCAAACAAGGAACTGTTTGTTCTAGCCCTTAAGGCAAAAGGATCCACCATCTGGAACCTGTCAGCTGCCCTATGAGGCCAGGGATGTTTTATGACATGTTGAGGTGTATAAATAAAGCTATACTGCTCATGTTTAAGAGCTGACACAGAACTCAATGAGCTGCGTTTGTTCATGCATTTTCTTCTGCAAAAGAAAAAAAACTTTACTACGTGTTTTTTAAACAAAGTTCTCAGTCTCTAAATTTTATTTTGAACAAGTTTGATAAAACTCCACACCTGCAACAGTGCAACACCGCCCCCTACGGTCATATGGTGGTCACATAATATGACGTCACAACGGATACCCGACCTTACATTTTTAACCTAGATAGATGTCCTAGCAATCGATGTGTTGATTACTCGAATACTCTGTTAATGCCCTAGTTGTAACCATGAGTCAGACCGCCGCTTCACCTAGACTCTATGATCTTTCAATCTGACTGTGTTGAAAGCAAGCAATATTCTGTGAATCTCCAGCTGCTGGCTGATTCTTGTACTACAACAAGAAAGCTGCACACAGTCGGAGCAGACTAGGGGCCGATCCCGATCATGGACGGTGGATGGCTGTGGCTTAATAACTGGAGCGTCTTATTTATGTACAAAATTATGATTTATCTTATATTTAATAAGTGAGGCTTAGAGACAATTTGTTTTAAAGTCTGACAATTACGATAGCTAAAAAAGAAGAAATGAGCAAAACAACAAAAAATTAAAATAGTTGAAAAGGCAGAAAGAAGCTTAAACTACCAGAAGGAAGTAGAAGGAACTGAAAAAAAGAAAGAAGTAGAATTAGCTGAAAAGGCTAAATTTAACACAAAAACAACTAAAAAGTTGCTGAAAGATCAGAAAAAGCTGCTGAAATTAGCAGGAAAAAAGGTGAAAGGAGCATAACAAGCTGAAAGTAGCTGAAATTGCAACAAAAAATGCAAAAAAATAAATAGCTGAAAAGTGAAAACATATATGACAGCATATGTTCTACCACATCTGGTGGCCCGTCCGTACGTTTCTACTACATCTGGTGGCCCGTGACGGGTTCATAAAATGGACTGTTGTATTCGTGTAACAAGTGAATTATCATGTTGGCATGAAGGAAAAAGTGCAGATTTTGCTGTGAAACGCAGTGCAGCTGCGACGCTTGGAGAAAATACAGCTATGCTCGCAGCTAGAGATGCTTTGAAAGCTGAAATTGTGAGTCAACGTGTCTGTTTAAAAGCTGAATTGTACGTCTGTTATGTGTAACTGAAGCTGATGAGCTGTGGAAAACATTTATTCTGTTTAAAAGGACGGAGGTTCTGCTGCAGACCCGGTTTTGGTCCAATCGGTTCTGATAATTTCGAACGAGTTGTTTTAAATAGATGGAGAAACGTTTTAAGGACTGAGAAGTCTCAGTGAAGCTTTGAGAGTTGATTTGTTACATTTTTAACAGAAAATAGTGCATTTTGACAGTTTAAAAGACGAAAAGTTGACGGACTTTTTCAGGCTAAATGCTAACAAAGACAGCTGAAATGGCGATCTGTGATTGGTTGAAAACGGCCATGTAACGCTTTGATTGGCTGACAGACGTGTCAGTCGTGACTAACTCTGACGTGTCAGGTCGTAAAGCCCACCCCCGCGCTGTTATGATTGGTAGATTCAGTCACGTGACCCGGAAATGAAGCTCGTCTTCATAGAGAATTTCAATCTGTTTTTTAAAGCTGAAAAACGCTTTAAAGTTGCATTCTGATCCGCTGCTTAATTTCTTTGAAGCCTAATCGCTGAAATTTTGCCACGTTTGAGTTTAAAATCCGTCATTAAATTATGTTTTTGAACAACGCTAGCGATGCTAATTTTAAGCTAACAGCTAACGACCGGATGAGTGACGTGTCGCATCACTTCCTCTATTGTCAGATGGTAAAGCTCGGTTGCACCAAAGCTTTCTCTATGCTTAAAATCACTAAATGAAGCTGCCACAAGTCCCCAAAAACTCATGTTCATGCAAAAAAGTCGTGCTTGTTGAAACAACGCCACGTTTTAGCTTGAAATACGTTCAGAAATGTTGATTTTAACCTTTAGCCGAAGCTAATTTTAAGCTAAGCGGCTAACGACAGGATGTCAACAGAACGTCCACAGGAAGTTGTCATACGCTCCTGCTGGTAAAAAGCTAAACACTGCCCCCTCCTGTGGAAACTTGATATCACAGTTTCACTTCGTTTTAGGTTATTTTGAGTGAAATTAAACGTATTTATTTCTGTAAGACGAATTTTTGAGTTAATAAACTTTCCTCAAGTTGAATTATCACTGTTATCTTGCATTTAAAAAGTGATCAAGGTATTTATGCAGCAGGCATTTACCAAAAAACTTTTATTCACTGGTAAATCCTCATGACAGAGGTGCAAAATAAAAAATTAGAAACTTTTTAAAAGATACAGATACAGATATTCACAGAGTAGATAAAGTTTACTCATTTGCTGGAAAGATAATACACGTTTAATTGCTAGATCATTAAATAAGAGTAAACTTATCAGGAAAAAGAAACTTTTCTGTTTAAGTTACCACCTAAACAATTACATCTTCTTATTTATTTTTAAATAGAAGATATTGGCAGGAGGACAGGAGTATAACAGTTTTTCTGAAGAAAGACTGATTATTCCTCATCATCAATTTTCTTTTTTCTGTTCACCCAACCTGGTTTAACGAGTAGCTGTTAAAATAGCAAATTTCTGGAACAGAACGGTTTTAAAAACGTTTTTAAACTGATGTTGCTGTAAGACTTTTTAGAAAATTGCAGGTTTATAAAAATTCAGTGCTTTAGAGTAAAAAACACTGAGAGGCTTGGTAATCTAGTATCTGTTAAAAAATAAGCACATTAAAAGTAACACTGCAGACAAGCATTTACTTAAATATTCATGAATTGGGGTAAAACCTAAGAAACAGGTGCCCGTTCCTCTGAATAAGTTGACTTATAACAGTACTTTTGTGTAAACCCAGAGCTAAAATAGTGTGAAACTCACTGACACTTGAATACAAATATTTACCTGTAAAATAATCTGAAGCTGGCAACTGTTTTAAACAGATAAATTGCTACACAGTGAAAACATGACAGGTGTGTTAGAAAAAGATTTTGATCCTTATGAGATGAAGGACTGTTTAGAGTATGCGTTAGCACTGCTAACAGGATCCTTACATCCATATGGCAAACAGGTGTACAGCATGAACCCAAAAGAGTTATTGGACAATCTGATGGAGGTTGCAGAGAGTGTGACCTCTACAGAAATTACAGTGTCAAGCTATGAAAAGCTGGCTAAAATGGCAATGTTGCTGAAAGAATCATACTTCGCATTAAGACGGGATCACGTCGTGACAGTGTCACAAGTTTCCCGCTGCAAAGGTGAAATAGATGCGCTTAAAAAAGATCTACACAAACGCGAAGTGGATAGAGAGATATTACTGGAAGAATATATGCGTTTACTAAGTGAATGTCAAACATCACAGGAACGCTTAAAAGCATGTGAGGAGAAACTGGCCGCAGCAACAAATAAAAGTTCTGACGTGGGGCGAGTTTATCTGGAACTCAGAGAAGACCGTGGACAGAGTCCAGGTCACCCACAACCACCTCAGAAAGACGTTGTTGCACCTCCTGCTCGTAATCCACCCTCACCTAAAGTGGTAGGAACAGACCTGAACAGGTCTCCTCCACCAAACATGCAACAGTGTGCTGTGAATGTGTTCGAGGCATGTTCTCATGCTAAGACGCCCATAGAAGTGTTTCCTGGTGTAAAGGTTAAACCCCACTCCCTAGAAATGGAAGGACGGCGTGCATTGACCCCTCCTCCTAAAACAGGCGAGAAAAAGCAGTATTTTCAAACTAACAAACCGCGTTATAAAGGTGCACGCTGGGACAAAAAAGCTCCTCTTTCAGAGGATGAACGTGATTATCGTAAATGGGGCATGCGTAGGACGCAAAGATATGGGATCCAAGAGGACCCATATTATCAGGGGAAGTCC